TCCAGTTTTTCTTAAAGTCTATTCGTCAGGACCTCTGTGGAGATCCTTGTATATGATTGGTAACAAGCTGTTGGGCCCGTATTTCTTATAATCCTCTCTGGGTCCCCTTTTGCGAAGTAGAATCACCGACGCCAATCATCTGGAACTTCCAGTTTCTTCAAACAGCGGGGAAACAAGTGCTCTAATATATTAGTTATTGTTTGATATATTGATTCCACGAGTTCCACTGTACTGTCGTTCTCGCCAGGTGCCCTTCCTCGCTTCGCTTGTTTTATTGCATGTTACAGACCTTTTGGTAAGGTATCTGGAATTTCACCTGCTTCACTTTACCTTGTATCTTCAGTTTCCTAATCTTCATAGACGGTGCTGATGTCTTCTTCGTTGTACGTTTTCTACAGAAATCTTCCTTTCTCTGTAGAATCTCTTCTCCGTTCCTGGTAACAGCCCCATCTTTTGTTTTGGAAACAGATTTGTCGTCGTTTCCGAACCTTCATTTTTTGATTTAATTGCTTCGTGTTTCAGTTTTTTCTCTAATTTCATTTATCGGTCTGCGTTTGAATGCTCGGATTTTTTTATGATATCGTGGTTAAATTTGTATATCACAGACTGCGAGGCTTAAAGTTATCACAACCGTCCCCAGAATTCTCCATAATGAGATCTCGGCATTGCCGTACCAGAAAGTAGACGGACAGTTATTGGCACACGGCTAAATATGATGTACTGAATACTTCTGAGTCGTTACGGATGCCGTGAAGCCTTATCATGATCTCCGAACAGGTCAGCTAACGAAGCAGTCGTGACCTGCTTTAAAAGATCTTTTCATGTAGCCAAAGTAGGTGTGCATATGAAAAGGAAATCTAGCAAAAGGATTGGTGGTCACATCCACAGTGATCCCCAAACAGATATACCGTAACTTTTTATTATACGCTCAGGACAAATTTGTCTTGAGATATTGAAGATGCTGGATGGATATAATCAGAAAATAGAGAGAAAGTGATATTCCACGTTAATATCCAAAATAAAAATGATTCCACGTAATAAGATTGGCAAGACTTTTGCCATCACTGGTTAGTCTGCACTCAGTTCGTACGACTGGACATGAATCTTTTATCCTACCGATTAGTCTACGCGTTCTGCAGAGCTAAGATTTGTTTTGTTGCTTTTCAAGTCTTTAGTAATGCAGGTAATGTTACCTTTCTGTTATGGATTGAGTAGAAAGAAATATTTTACTCATTAACAGAGAAAAGTCGGTGTAGAGCTGTTTATTCATCCTTAGCAAACATTCTTGCGGCAATTTAACGAATTTACTGGGCTGTTCAGTTTTGCTACAGAGTAAATTGATCGCTGCAGTTATCAGTACTACGGTGTTCTTAATGATTGAATGTCTACACTTCAGTACTCACGTGCAACAAATAGTCACTAAAGTAGGACGGTGCAGTTTTTTTAAAGCGCCTAATCTCTTTCATAGTCTCCAGAAAGAATCAGGATGCTGACTTGCAGAGCTCGCTTCCTGCATTTAATTTCATATGCTTCACCGATGTATTTCTCCTTCCAGCGTGAAGTAAACCTACGTAAACTTTGATTGGTTCTGTGTGTTGTTGCTAGAACAAGTAGACTGTCTTATCTTCATCAGCCATTTTCAGTCCTCTGCTGAACGAAGGCCCCTCCGAGACTTCGCTGTAGACCTCTGTTTTCTGCTATTCTCATCCATCTTGATCCAGCAGATTTCTTCAGCTGGTTCTGCCACTGATTTTGACGTATTCCTACTGGTCGTTTACTCTTGAAAGAAGCTTTATATATCTCTAGTGGTCGGTTCTTCATGCATTGAGTTGTGCGCATTGCCACTTCCTTAATTAATAACTTCTTCACTCTGCGGAGATATCGCAGACTTCTGTTTAAGCTTTT